GCTTCTAGTAACAAGTGCCTTACTAGCAGAAACAAGAAGCTACAAGTGCAGCCTCCTAGCAGTCAACGTTCGATGTTCCGTTCGATGTTCCGTTCCTTCTGCTAGTAAGGCACTTGTTACTAGAAGTGATGCACTTGTTACTAGTAGCTTCTTGTTTCTGCTAGTAAGGCACTTGTTACTAGAAGCGATGCACTTGTTACTAGTAGCTTCTTGTTTCTGCTAGTAAGGCACTTGTTACTAGAAGCGATGCACTTGTTACTAGTAGTTTATTGTTGGACACTTTTGATTTTTTAGATCTTTTAGATCGACTTTCAAGTCACAGTAGAAAGAAGGGAACTTGAGTGAACAGTACTTTAAACTTAAATTTGTGAGTCCACTGAAGTTCCCAGTGTTCTTACGCCGAGTTCGGAATTCATGGGACCTTTCAGTATGCATATGAACTCCATGTCTTGTGTTCTTGTGTCTTGGCATGCTCCGTGTCTAGAAATGAATTTCGTCTCTAGGTGCTGACGCCTGCTGAGAAGGCTGAGATACAAAATCGGCGGGCAGCTGCACAGAAGAAATGGCAAAAGGATCCAGAACTTCGGTCGGAACTCCACGCGACACTTCATTTGCGTTACGTCTTACATGTCGCCAATTTGGACATCTGCAATTTTGCTGTTTTTTTTCCCTTGTGTTCTTCCAAGGAAATTGGCACAGCGAAGGGCAATTGTGGAGGCGCAATCGGAAAGGCTCGATGTGAGAGTCGACTCGCACCCACGGCTGCTAGACAGTATCGAGAACGAGAGTGTGAGAACGAGACTCGGCTTGGCGCTAGTTTGGAGACGGCTAGATTGGAGGCCCTCGCTAGGTTGGCCTCTCTCTCTTGGAGACCCGCACCAAAAGTCGGGCGCTGTGCCCTGTGCTGCTTAGAGCGCAGCACCGCTCTAAGAGCGCATCATTGCACAACGTTTTGCGCGTTTGCAGTTTGCCGCATGTTTTTTCTCCTCGCTCAGGAAAACAGGTGAATGTGGGCACTCAACCTCTCGAGAACAAGTAGCGCAACACCAGACAGGAGAAGAGAGAGAACTAGCAGAACATAACCTTCTCGAATCAGACGGAGAAGAATCCAGATGGAGACGAAAAGTGCGAGAAGGCTTCAGAGAAGGCACTGTGCAACGAGAAGGAGAACGAGAAGAGGAAGAAAGACTGAGAGAAATGAAAGAAATCAGTGAAGAGAAGGATGAAATGAAAGAACATGGGCCCCATGGGCAGAGCGGATTTTCAACGTTTCCACCGTGTTCTCCCGCTCCAGATGCTGCGGCTTTCGAAGGAGTTTTGACGGAGAACTCCCTCGGTTTCACCCCTTTCACCCCAAGCGGCGACTGTTGCTCCTTGCAGTAACAATCGTGTTTGCTGACCGTCTCTTTGTGTTGTTTTTGTTGCAAGGCAACCATCGTTTCTGTTTGGAAAACAGGCAGAATCAGGCTTGTCGGAGAAATTCTTAAAACCTTCCTTCCCTTCAGAGATTTCTTCGAGATGGTTCTTATTCGCTTCATGAAACGCACGGCGGATATTTTTTTGGCTCAGAATACAGTTCGAAAGAGGAAGAGACCGAGGCGAGAAAACGAAAAACAAAACAAATTTGCTTATTATGTGTTTTTTCAACTACTAGTAACAAGTGCCACGCTAGTAGTAACAAGTGCCTTACTAGTAGTAACATAAAGCTATTAGAATTAATTTAAATCAAATTAATTCTGAAAGCAGTCGACTGCGTGAGATGCGCAAAACGTCGAAGTGATGCCCACTTCAGGGCTCAGCCGGGAGTCAAGCGGGGATTTAACAGAGTTGCTGTTCCTGAGTTGCTTAGGGGGCATGGACCCCAACGAGGCTTTGATGAGCTTGTTGGGACCAGGCCAACTATTCTTTGAATGCGGCTTGCAAAAAGACAGAGGAGCAGCCATGGGCTGGACATCATCCAGGAGAGGCTTCGCCTTGAAGACGCAACTGGAGGTGACTGATTGGCTGGGTCAATGCTGAGGCTCACTTGGTTGAAGGGCAGGATGCGTGCCCCTTGAATGAGGAAAACAAGTCGCCTGGCCCCAACCGAAGGAGTTGGCCGAGCCCCTGGTGAGGTTGGCCAGAAGGCTTCCCCCACAACAGAGTTGGCCCGTCATTCTTTGCTTCAGGTTGCGAACTCGCGTGGCAGGCGCATCTCGCTCGCATATTGAGTGCACATTGCAACATATTGCAACTCCAAATGGGGAGGGCAACTCTGCCGAAGGGTCTGCCACCTCCGCCGTTATTTTGCGAATTATGCCTTCGCCAGCGCAAGCGTTGTCAGGGTCGGAAAAGCTGTGTGAAAGCAGGGCGCCGTGATTTGGAACGGCCTCGCAATCTGCACGCTCAACTACATGTGCGCGGACTGGTTCTATCTCCGTGTCCCGCGATTCAAGAACAGCTCTGGACCAAGTATGGATCATTGAGCAGTTCATTACATTGATGAGGTGGCCCATGGCAGAGTTTTCTGTGTAAGTGCGTGGGCTGGTGACTGGGAGGGCCTGGCGAGAGCCTGGCTGTCTAGTCAAAGTGAGGATGGTACGGCCAAGAGTGCGACGGGATTGTGGGATAAAGGCCTGGTGCACTTCAGACGCACAGGATGATGCATGTGGATAGCGAAGACTTGAGCATATTGAGCTGGCACTTGGATCAAGAGCACTCTTGTTAAGGGGCTGCAAGTCCAAGAGAAAGTCTCTTAGTCTGCGCGTGATGGGCACCAAATGAGAAGATCCTCTTGGCTGGTTTGCGATTCGAGGTCCTGAAGCATGCGTTAAATCAGCATGCTTCGCAATTGAAAGAGTCAGAACGGTGTCCCAATCAGAAGGTGGTGAATCTGACCCAGACCTTTTTTGTGGGGCCAGCGCCATGTCAGCGTTAGAGATCCAGGGCAGTGGCCGGCCTCTTGGTCGAAATGACCCACGGAACTTTCTGCCGCAAAGCGGCAGAAGAGATGGCCATGGCCACGCGACAAGGTCAGGCTGGTCTGGACGCAAAGACTTTATGGAAAGGAAGGGGGGGGATGGGTAGAAAACTCGTTGGGCAAGCTGTGCGGGACTTGGACGTTGTGAGTGCTGGCTCGCAGTTCACATTGCCCGACTATTCATCGCGATGGAGCGAACTTGGATCATCAGCCCCACTCGGATCAGTTGATTGGCCAGTTGAAGCAGCGGGAGATAGTAAAACTCTTTGCGAGGGGCGTTGAGGGTACCAAACGTCCGGAAACGCCTGGGAAATTGAAACCCAAGACCTGATGACTTTTTGGCTGCAGGATTGTGAACGTGGAAGAGAATTTGGTTTTGGCGGAGGCTTGGTCGATGGAAGCCCGACCACTACCGATGGAGCAAGCTCAAGGGACACTTCTGGAGCCATGAAACTAGCCGAGGGAGAGGAGCAGCCACAGCAAAGAGTCGAGGCAGAGAAGGGCCACCGCATCCAGCGAGGGTGACAAGCCTCTATACACATGGCACCATAAATATACCGACAGCCGCAAGCACACATGCTGGACGGAAACATCGACGAGCCCATGACACGTTGGACAGCATCACTTCGATCATTTGGCGCATGGTGACTGTGGGTGGCTGAAATGCGGGTATATAATAAAGACGGAGAGACTTGGTAGATGACGTGTTGGAGCAGGGCCTAAAGTTTGAACCTGGGATGGTGAATGTCCAAGCGTTTCTCCTCGAGGGAGCGTGGGGATTCACATGATGCGAATTCACGCGCATTTATACATCACCACAACCTTCAAGGTTTAAGTAAAAGGGCCCGTCTTTGGTACAAAGGGATCCGTCTGTGGTACGCCGCTCCGCTGCACTTTGCTATGTTTATGTGTTTAAGCAGCGCACTGGTATGGGGTAGCTGCTAGAAGTCTGATTTGCTTTCAAGCTAGAAGTAGTTTGGCTTAGCTCTTTGGCTCCCAGATGTCTATTTGTGTGTGTGGGGTTGTTCGAAAAGGGTGAAGAACCCGCTTAGTGATTCCCTGTGTGTGTGCAGGCTGAACCGATGCCTTCCAAGTTTGTGAGCGATGGCCGGGCTGTGAAATGCTGTGAGTTGTCCAGTTTGACCGGCCACTTCAAGCTGCCGCTGAGGTGTGCACTTCAAGCACGCATTCTGTTCATTGAACGAAGGGAAGCTGGACGACTTCTACAAGGTCGAAACCAAAAAGAAATTGGGCGAAGGATCTTATGGCCTGGTGCCCAAGAAGTCCGGTGCCTGCCGGGTCGCTGTTACTTTCGTGCCCAAGGCTCCGTCTCGAAGGGCGTGCACAAGTCCACGAACGCGGTTCGGGCCATCAAGGAGGGAGCGCATGCGTTCACTGGAGGAACCAAGAGGTTTCTTCCTTTTGCCGGTGTAACGACGCCAAATTAAAGAGGCTCTTACGACCGGAGGGTTCTTCTCTAGAGGGGGACAGGGTCTCTCGAACTCCGCCGTTGAGATTCACTGAGCAACTCGTTAAAGGCCATTGATCGCACGAAGATTGCGGATGGGGAGCGCTTCCAAACAGAGGTTGACATTCAGCAACTTATTTGCAAATAGTTTCGGGATGGGTCGAACACTTGTGAGTCTTGTCAGGACTGATTTTCACCTGAGTTTCACTAAGACATTTGCACAGTGCCAGCACAATGCTAGCGACGCAAACCAAACAGCACAGTCGTTGCGTTGTGCGGTTTTTGTGTCTCCTGTTTGCGTGCTCAGTTCAGGTCCGCTTTGGATCATCCAAACATCGTGAAATTGTACGAAGTCTTTGTGGACGCGAAGAAGGTGTTTGCGTTGTTTTTGGACAAGAAAGTAGAAGAGCATCACTTGACGCATAGATCGGAATGATTTTTTTTTATCTGATTGATTCAATACTTTCAGCTAGTAGTAACAAGTGCATCGCCATTAGAAACAAGTGCCTTACTAGTAGTAACAGGTGCCACGCTACTAGTAACAAGTGCATCGCTACTAGGAGCAAGGGCCACGCTAGTAGTAACAAGAAGCTACAGGTTCACTTCACAGGTTGGTCACAGGTTGGGCGTTCCGGGCGCCATTTTGGAGATATTACGGGTTCTTGTTACTAGTAGCGTGGCACTTGTTACTAGTAGCTTCTTGTTTCTGCTAGTAAGGCACTTGTTACTACTAGCGTGGCACTTGTTCCTAGTAGCTTCTTGAGATATCACGGGTTCTTTTCGGCCACAGCCCTAAGTGCAGCGACTGCGCCAATCGCACCGAGAGTGTAGGCACTTTCGAGAGTGTTTTCACATGGGGCTGTCAAACACGCCATGTGGACGTGAAAGACTCGGGGTCAGGGGGTGCCATGCCATTTCACTAATTGACGGCCAACCCACCCCGACATAATGAAGAAAGACGTTATTAAGCAAACATGTTATGTTCTTTAGAGATTTTACTGATAGTTTTTACTTTTGCAATGTATCATGTAGACATATCATCTATAATTCATAGCATGACAAATTTTTCATGATGATTATGGAGAGCTTTCGTTTGGGAGGTCTATTTGGTCATGGAGCTGTGCACGGGTGGCGAACTCTTCGACCGAATCCTGGAAGAAGCTGAGAAACATGAAGGTGCGAGATCTGCGAAGACACGGAGAGAGAGTTGGAGGAGAAGCCTAGTAGCGATGCCAGGAGCCCCGAACGTAGCGATGCCCTTTGCTCCTAGTAGCGTCCTTGCTCCTAGTAGCGATGCCAGGAGCCCCCAGTAGCGTTGCTGTATATATATATAATTAATGAACATAGATATTTCAGAATGAAGTAGAAAAATTGTACACGGTATTTGTTGACCATTCACGGATTAAACGCGCAGCGCCTAGCAGACTCCCTAAGTTCATGCAACCAGCACACGTCCCTTCCTGCTTGGAGCGACGCTAGTACAAGTGGCGCTGCCTGGTGTCGACATGAAGAGCCGGATGTAGAGTAGTAACAACAAGCTTCGCTACTAGGAACAAGTGCCTCGCTAGTAGTAACAAGTGCCTTACTAGTAGTAACAAGAAGCTACTAGGAACAAGTGCATCGCTACTAGGAGCAAGTGCCTTACTAGTAGTAACAAAGAAGCTATTAGAAACAATAAGCTAATAGCTTCTTATTACTACTAGTAAGGCACTTGTTACTACTAGCGTGGCACTTGTTACTAGTAGCTTTTTGTAGGAAGTTGCTCCATCAACATCTAAGAACAAAAAATATGAGGTTGACACTGAGGCTCACGCAGACCCTGCAACTTGACTGGTAGGATGCTCAAACCAAACCCTTCGCTCACAACTAAGTTTAGACTTACTTGCAATCAGCGCTACTGGGATGACAGCTCAGGAACAAGAAACTAGACCCCGCCCTCTGCCTAACTTCACAACACAGCCTGTACCTTCCAAACAAACTTGCTCCAACCGTCCAGCAACCCAACTCAGAGTAGTAACAAGTGCCACGCTAGTAGTAACAAGTGCCACGCTAGTAGTAACAAGTGCCACGCTACTAGGAGCAAATGCCTTACTAGTAGTAACAAGAAGCTAAAACCAACTCAGAGTAGGGCAGGACTTTCCTCAAGAAACTGCTTTCGCAGGCTCTTCAACCAAGTTGATGTCTCGATTGAACGTTTTGAAATAGAACTTCCTACAAGGTTCGCTACTAGTAACAAGTGCCACGCTAGTAGTAATAAGAAGCTATTAGCTTATTGTTTCTAATAGCTTCTTTGTTACTACTAGTAAGGCACTTGTTACTAGTAGCGATGCACTTGTTACTACTAGCGTAAGAACTTCCTGACACTGGGGCTTTAATTGCTTCCACACCGAACTGCCTTTGTATCTTCAGAGCAAGTACGCTGCGCCCCTCTTGTACACAGATTTTTCAAATGTTCCTGAACGCAGCATAGCCCGCCACGTGGGAGTGTTAGTCATTATGCATGGGTGCAATTTCTAAACAAAAAGGCAAGCGGGGATTGCTTGAGTGAGCCTTTTCCCTCTTCCTCACATGCCCCCTCAGAATATCAATGGTACTACTAGTAATGCTTTTGTTACTAGTAGCGATGCCCTTCTTACTAGTAGCGATGCCCTTGTTACTATATAGCAGCGATGCCTGTCTACCAGTAGCGATGCCCTTGTGCCCTTGCTACTAGTAGCAGTGCCGTTGTTACTAGTAGCCATGTAGCGATGCCCTTGTTACCAGTTGCGATGCCCTTGTTACCAGTAGCGAT